ATTCTCCAAATGTTCTTAAGATATTTCATTATAAAGTTCAAATAAGATTGTGTATGTTGTATTAAGCGCTTATACTGAGATTTAACTCTAAATTTATGAAAGATAAATTGACTCGAGTGTCGAGCGGTTGGTCAAGAATACGTGATATAATTGCCACGCTTTTTCGAACATTCACCGCGAAAGCCAACAGAAAAACGTGATCTAAAATGTCATAGGGACGGTATACTTAAATCAATTTCATCATTCTGTAAAAGTTGCAACAATCGGTGCGCCAGAACGTTTCGCGTCCCAGACAATTACGGGCATCGAGCGGCAGAGTTACGCCTACGATCGTTCGCGTTACAAAATCGTCGGTCAGAAAGATTAACAAAGGGTTCAGGACTGCTTCATCTGTTCTCGATCTAATAGCAATAAGAACGAGCTCCCCTTATTTCTTATTAGGCCTTTCGCAATTATATCCCTCATTGAACAAATCTAAATTATCAAATAATTGCAGAATTGCACCATAAAACGGTAATGTTTCCATATTCACGATAAATCGATTAAAAGAAATTAAATATTTTTACGATCGTATTACCGATGAAGTTATTGTATGTACAAAACTTGACAAGATTAATCTATATTTATTACGCTGAGAAAAAAAATTGTTAATCCAAAGACATATTTAGCCCTTAAGTGCCACCCGGGGTCCAGCGGACCCCAGACCCTTTAGAATGATATATTTTCAAATGTTCCCCCCAAAAATGGAGCTCATGCTCCCATTGATGATAGTTGAGTGATTGACCTACCCGGTTGTACACTTAGCAGTAGGTCAGTTTACTTAATTTTTTATACTATGTTGAAATTGAAATTTTAACAATATAAGCATTTTATTCTCTTTTCTAAGCCTTGAACAATACTGAACATAATTTTCTTAACTAAATATAAAAAAATCAATGAGTAAGGAGACATTTTTCATGCTGGGGTCTTTTAGACCCCATGTGTCATTTACGAGATTCTTGAGAGGTGTGGCATTTAAGGGTTAGTCCGATACGTTCAACTAAACATTTTAGTTAGTTAACTAAATATTAGTTGTTTCAATTTATTTCGTTTCTTTAATCAAGAATTAATTAATTCAACTAATGTTTAGTTAACTAACTAAAATGTTTAGTTGAACGTATCAGACTAAATATTTCTTGGGATTGATAAATTTTTTTTCTCAGTGTAGTTAGTACTCGTGATGCTACCCTAGATAACATTGTTAAATAATATTGATCTCTACAAATATATTTTTTCCTTATACCGGCTTTTATCCTCTCTTTCCGTACCACCTAGCCCCACGTTACACCGATCACTCGAGATAGTTAAACACCGACATGCATTATGCGCGACACGCCCGACTTTATTGTTCATTACGATAATGAGGAGGTGAGCTCGAGAGCCTCACGGACGGCGATCAATTAGCGAGCGCGACACCGGCGTTATAGGTAACCCGAAACTGGGGAATGAATAAAAGTTGGAGAACGCATTGCGTATAGCGATCGCGGCCATGCGGCCAACCGGTCTCCCGGGACCCGCGCTCACCGGACGCATAATCGGCACCAAATTCGAGAGAATGCGAGACACGTGTATTAATTTCACGGGACGGCTCGTAAAACTCGTGCCTTTACGATTCTAGCGCAGATACGGCACGATGGGGTCGGCGCCGAACCGGGCAGGCAGGTAGATGCAGGTCGGAGCGTGCAGCACCAGGTGGGATGGATGGTATGAAGTCGCGCGGAGGACCCCGCCGCCGGGGCCCGGTTATTTATTCAAAATGTACTTATACGCGTTAAGCGTTTAGCGCTTTGTTGCGCGAAATAATTGCGTCGCTGGTTCAGCAACGAGGGCCAGGTAGCCAACTGCCATGCCGGAGATACTCGACTCGGCTCAACATGACTCGACTCCGTCTCTCGGCCCCGACACAGCCACCAGGCTGTGCGAGAATAATTGTTTATTTCGAGCCGACGATATATATATGTATATATATAATGCAACGGAGAAATATGATGCCTCGTTTCGCAAATTGGTCGCGTCGCTTTGTCATTACCGCCACTGGATTGACTGTTACCTATATCGCACGTTTTACTCGAATGCGAGTTTAAACGGCGTATCTTTGTGGAATATCGACTACCGTTCCGCGACAACCGATTGTCACGCTTGTACAACCGACATCGATAAGGCGCCCGCGCGGAGTGGGCGTGCTACAGGTTTGTAAGCGTTCGACCGTGTGTGGGTGCGGGATTGCAGGAGGCGAAGATTATCAGAGGAGCGTACCAAAAAGTACAACGAGAGCACCGAGATTTTCAGGGCTCGATAATCGTTGCCAAACCGACCCTCGTTACCTGTTTAAATGTCCGCGACGGAGAAATTTGCGACAAAGGCAAGCCCATTTTGTTAATTGCCCAAAATTCCGGGTCAACGTCGTTAAGTAGTTGCTTTTAAGTGTTTCTCATGCGCCCGACCTCGCACTCGTCTCACGGGAAACGACTCGAATATTAATTAAAATTACGCTACAGCTTAGCAGGAAGTCCAATATATTTCAGAGAACGGGCGACTTTATTACTCGCGATTTCGCGATAAGCTCGTCGCGCGGTTATCTATTTGCCGACTAACGCGACTTTGACACCGCTAATGCCTTTGGTACTTCTCTTAGACAGATCCTGCTTTCGCCAAATAATGTCCACTGTTGATTACCGTAAGAGTGCAAACATTCCGAATGGTCTAAATAGTGAAATAGAATATATTCGTATATATGCTCCACGAAAATAGAGAAAATTTTTTCATTATATAACATAGACGACATTATCTATAATTTTTACAATATCCACAAAATTAATTTTTGGGAATGTGTCTTCTTTTAAATGAAGTCGTCTTATACAAAGTGCAATGAAAGCCGTGTTTCCGATGATAATATCGTAATCAAATATTTGTCGCAGTGTATAGTATTTTGAGGCCCAATTTATTTCAGCTCTCCTGCATCTTTCGGCAATCTTAGTTTGAGTATCCTATCAACGACATCACAGTCGATACGAATCGACTGTTCGCGGAGAAAATACCAACGTCGTTTTCGATTATTTATATCTATTGTAGCTAATCTGCAAAGAGAAAATGCGCGCGCGTAGTGTTGGTTGACGATCCGTTGCAAATGGATGCTCCTGCGGCATACGTTTCCCGAAGTCTTTCTCTCTCTTTCCCGTTCTCTTTCGCGCACGCCATTCTTTACGACGCCAATTACTTGCCGAGCGATGGAACGCTTACGGGGTATTGACGAGTGGGTTCCCGTTACCTTGCAGGGCGATCTTCGACTTGGCATCGATTTGCCCTCGAAATCGAATCGCCGTGGCGTCGACACGCGAGAAGAACTCGCAAGCATCGTCTCGAGCCGAGCTATCTCGGGTTTCTAACAAATTCTTTTTATACACAAAGAGACAAATTGAATAAAAACGTGGATTGATAATTGGCAGCAGATATGCGTGTTTAATTCGGGCGCGACTGCAACGACTGTAACGAGGCGTGCTCGTTACATTTTTCATACGACCAGGTATGTTAGCGATCGATTCTTTAAATTGTCCGTCGTTGATTCGGGCCCATCATCTCTCTTCCCCAATTACAAGATACTTTTTCATGAAACACACGGGACGAGCGTGTAATAAATGATAGGCGATAGATCAGGTGCGATGTTATCGGTAGCGGGCAGTAAACCCGTTTCTCCGCCCCGTTCCCCGCTCGCTTTCAGCTATGCTTAATTTATTCGGATGATCTTGTAAAGAACGTCCGCGCGTCTAGCGCCTGCACCTGTAAACGGTGCTCAGCCACTAAACACTAAACGCCAAACGCGCGCGAGGCTGCTGCCCACCGCGCCTGAATACAATCCGCCATAAAACGTTCTACTAATAACGCCGCGATCGGACTCGTAAAAGCCGCTGAACGAAACCTGTCTCGTTCTCGCGATCCGATCGAGAGCCTCAAATCCTGCCTCCCCCTGTCTCACTCGTTCTCCCTGCTTCATTCTCGTCCGCTTCTCCTCTTCGACCTCGACCGACCCCCTCGTCGTTTCATCCGTCGACCCACGCCTCGGCTGCCCTCTCGATTACCGGCCTCAATAAATGCAATTAATGATCTGTCACGTTTGATCCTGACTTACTAATCGCCTTGGATCCCGTTTTAACAGAATATCAATAGGGCGTTAAAAAATCTGTGGACGTTTTAACTCTTCGGCCCACAGCAGCAGCAGATTATCGACAAGACATTTCGCCAATAAACAATTTGCACAATAATAAAGCGTGATTGCCGAGATACGAAACGCACTACGCCGAAACGTTGTTGCGCAAAATAAAAATATATTGATTAGTTCGCAGCGGATTAATATTATAGCGGATTTAGCGATGAATATAATGGTCAGATACAAATTTTACATTTGTATGTGCATTTTATTTAAGAGATATACATTTATATGCATGTTTTTACATACGGTACGTATTTCTAGACATGAAAAAAAAAAAATTTCGTTTTATCATCATCGTCATTCCAAGGTGAAGTAAAATGCATTTCTTTACATTGCGCAAGTCTCTATGCGTTTGTGACTAAGAAATACTTTCAACCGTGTACCTTTCACGATTCGTCACCGCAATGCTTCGCGAATCCTTCGATCCCTCGATATCGCACCGATCTAATCGAAGCCTCATTAACGAACCACCAATGTAACCGTGCAATATTACGGGACAGTGGTTCTCCATCCGACTTTCTTCATATGAGACATACGAGCGGCGAGTTGCTTCATGAAAACGATGCGTCGATAGGAGCGATTTGACACAACTCCGAGATAGTTGATTAAATCTGATAGAACTTTTTCTCATGAAATTATAGATCGTTAATTACAAGAAGAATTTGAGAGGAACTTTTTGTTGACAGTGATGATAAATCTGCAGATATTAATATGCGTCTCCTCGCATTGTATCAGAATCTAGAATGGAAAGCATCTAAACTTTCGGATCGCGCATCTGCGCCGCGGTGTGGGGTTCAATGTACCCGGCGTAATTACCACAAACGAACCTGAAGACAGACGACATGTAACTCTCCTGATGCGGACAGGAGGGCCGTGCAGTCACGTAGCCGGTGAACAGGGTGGGAACGGGTCCATCGAGGTTCGTGCGATGCGACGAAAAAGCCTGAGTGCCGTGGAAAGAAAGACGTGGCGGCGACGATGGCGGCAACACCGGGAAGAGGAAAAAGTCTGGAAATAGAAGTCAGCTGAGCGAGACTTAGTGCGCCTACTCTCGATCGACGGGTAATTACGAGACCTGCGTGAAGAGCAGACGATATCGAAAGAGCTCGTGCCGACAGGCGTGACCCTCCTTCACTCTCGTTGCCTCCTGCCACGGCAGAGGATTCTCTTTGTTCCACTCCGCGGCCTACCTTCGATCCATCCATCCATTGCCCTCTCCTCCCCCGTCCCCTTTTGCCTCTTCTCGTCGTCACGGATATAGCCAATAACCGTAGCATCTACCTACTCCACGCCAAATTCCAAAGAGCTAACTCGATATATACGATCACGTCGAAAGCGATATCTTCCGGTACTTTCTTGCACGCTTCGTACGCGCGGCGAAGAAATACAGCGATACGTGTGAACGGTTATCGGCAAAACGAACGTGATATTGTTTTCACGGTAAATCTCTTTCGGTCAAACTTCGGAAGAACATTGAAGGATCCTCCACGGTTACGCGAAGAAACAGAATGCAGAATACTGAACATCTTCCGTCGTTCTTCATGGTTAGCCGGTGCGCGTTAGCGTTCTTCGCAAAGAACAACGTATCTTCGCGGATACGTTTCTTTCTCCATGTCTCTACAATCGCCGCACTTTTATCTTATACTCTTTTTCTCCCTCCTTTTTTCATCTCGCACTCTTCTCCAGGCTGAAGACCAATAATCGTAACATCTCCCTCCGGAATTCCAGAGAAACGGAGAACTTAACTGTCGGTGACGTTGTCGTCTAATGAAAAAGTCGTGGCTGTCATCTCCCCGTGGTTCTCCACGGCACCGGCGCGCTCCTTTTCCGCTCTTCTGCGACGAGTGTGAACGAGCAAGCACCTAAGAGATGATTCATGCTCATGCCTATCCACGTGGAAAACGAGGAGGAACGGAGAAGAGAGAGAGCTCGTGTGATCGCTCTCTACGCGGTACATAAACGCGCGCGTATCTGTGCGTGTAAATAGTCAACGCGGCAAGAATGTTAAGTGCTCGTCTTTTACGAGACGTTGCATCGTAATTAATAATAATGGTAGGATAAATTATTGTGTGAGAGTCCGGTGACGTAAGGACGATCACCGGACACGATAGCCAACGAAAACGTAGAAACATCAAAGTTACAGGTGCGTTATTAACACTCCGCCAGCGTCTCGAGAATTTTATTTCGAGCTATTAATCCGTGCATTAAAACAACATAACTAAATTAGAACCAAATGATCATCGTTCTGCGTAAAAGTCTGTTTATTTATAAAATAGATAGTTTTTATCAAATAATAATAATAATATGGACAAATATTGAACAAACTTACAATTATAATAGAAAGCAAGACTAAAAAAATATATTTCAACATGCCGTAAAAATTAAGTTAATACTAATGTTTGACAGTAGGAGAAATTTTATCGAGAATTCAAGATAGATATATAATTTTTATTAATGAAGACACATCATTTCAATCATATTTCACAGGGTCGAGAATATCCAATTTTCTTCCAGCCGAAAGACGATGCGCATGGAAAAAAATTATCTGCCGCCGAAACTATTCGAAAAGATATAGGGGACCAACGAATAGGATAAATACTCGCCGTCGGCGAGAGTCTCTGATCCTTACGATTATAACTATGCCGCTGCTTTTATTTCGGTTGCACGGTTGCTTTCAACATTTTATTTAAGCCGACTTTTTATTCAGGCCGAAAAACGTATAGTCGTATAAAAAAGCGTGATTGTATCTATACATACGATTAGAGTCGTTAATGAGGTAGCTGGAATTTTTTTTACTGTTGAACAAATTGTTCATAAAATTTGAAAAACCGCAAAATCATGAGCAGTTTAGTTCTAAACATTTCTATAAGAGTTTCTATATGCGCATTGTAGTTAACAGAATAAATATTCCGAAATAATGAGACGTTAATGCACGCTTGAACTCGGTAACTCGTTTATTGTCCAGCTAGTTTTGCTAAAACGTTGAATTCTGGGTTAATGAGTCAAGATTCTGGCACTCTAGAAACAGGACAGAATAACGAATGCCGTCCAATCTACTGGCTATTAATTTATGTCGTTTACGTTTACGCAACGTGCGTACACTGTTCATGTGGCACGATTCCGCTTTCTTGTTTTCAGACGATCGCGAATTATTAAGCATTATTCTCAGATCGTAAAAGTCCATTAAATTCCACGCCACGGTAATTTCAATGGTTCCGTGTCTCTCTCGTGGAATAATTATTATCGATGATTGTAAAAAGGGTCGAGGACATGGCCGCGGGACAAACGGACTCTCTTCTCTCTCTCTTTCTCTATCGCGAATTGCGCCGCTTACGAGATTCCTTTTCAATGGAATCCTTCGGCTCGCCGACGCATCTCGCAAGCTGAATTTCATTAGGAGGACGCTGTGAAACGTGAGAGCCGGGACGAGATCGCCGTTATGTTTCAGCCGACTGCGCGCATCCCGCTAATGTAATCTCCGCGTCGTAAGTGGAGAAAAGTATTTCAAGTATATATGAGAAGTGATATAAGGACGACTGTGAGACTCTCGAAATCGCTGCGTAACCGTTCTGCCGCCGCGTGCGGAAACCATCTGGCGAGTATCATCAGGATACGCGATGCAACCTCGATAATTGCAGCTTCTCCCCCCCCCCCGTTCTATTCGCGGTTTCCAGTCCCGCGCGCGTTTCCAGGACCTTTATCATCCGGACGTCCGAGTAAATAGGATTATCCGAAAAACACAGCATCCCGCTATTGGCACCGTTTTCGGACAGACCCCGGTATTATCCGAGCATTCAAACGGCGCGTGTTGGTAACCGTTCTAATTCGTCAGCAATAGCGGGAAGGGGAGTGTTGTTTACATCAAATTACGGTGCCGGACGGCACATCTGGTGTGCCGCCCGCGGCATTATCCCGACCGGCAACTTCTGACCGGGCCCGTCCGTCGCTTCAGGGGCGGTCACGTCTCGTCAAGGGGGCCACCAGGTTGGTCGAGAGGTAACGACCTATCGGGTCAAAGCGCGCGCGCGCGTTTGGACAGGGATCAGGATGAAGGATCGTTTGTCCTTAACAGGAAAAAGTCACCAAGGAAACGCGCACGTCGACGTTGACCGACGCGGTTCGGGGCGAGGAGAGAAAGAGGAGAGAAGGAAGAGATCCTCGCCCGAGATTCGATCAGTGCTCGGCCGTGGACGGTGCTCCGACTCCGCTGCCGGTCTCATCTCATAGCTCGTAGGGACCGAACGACACCGGGCACGAAAGAGTCCCCGCACACATATACATAGAAATCGGTCGTAGTGGCGAGGTTGTATATAGATACTCGCGGTATCGGCTGCTGGCGTAGTCGAGAGTAGTTGAATCGTGTGTTGGCAGCGAGGAGTTCCGTGTACCCGTCTTCCCGGCGTCGAGGGGGGGGGGGGGGTGAAGGGCGGTGGAACGGGATGTTAGGACAGCGGGGAAGTGATGGAGGATCACAGCGAGAGAATGATGAGGAGAAAAGGACGCGACGAAGATGCGGTGAAAAGAAGGCGACGAGAAGAATGGTAGGGGAAAAGGGATAAGGAGCAAAGGAGACGCGGGAGAGGGGTTGAGAGAGCCGCGAGACGGGGAAGCAAAGTGGATGTTGGAAGCGTGAGGTAGATGGAAAACGTGGCAAAGAAGAGCCGGAACGGCGAGACGGAGAGAGAGTGCGGGAGCCGAAGGAGATGCCCAGATCGAGACTGTTCGGTGCGGAGAGTGGATGCTGGCGAGCCTCGATGGACCACCTACCGTTCCTGATCTGATCTCTCCGTAACGCTCGTTCGTTCGTCCGTCCGTCCGTCCGTTCGTCCATCCGTCCATCCGTCCGTCCGTCTGTCCCTCGCATCGCTCGAGATTCCCAACTTGGGGCCCGCGCGACCCGCTGTTCCCATCAATAACGCTTATAATATCTAATTAATCACAAATTATCTAGATCTCGTCTGGAAAGGAAGTAAAGTTGATGCAAACTCGCGGCGTCTCGATTGGTCTCGATACATCAAATTATCTTCCAATTACGCGGATATATATATTTCAATGGTCAAGAATAGAGAATTCAAAAAAATGTCTTCTGGTTTTATACGTTGTTTAAATGCTATATGATTCTTCCGTGAGAATCTACGTTCGTTTATCTCGTACGCGCAATACGGCATTTACAGGTATTATTTAATGGTGAAAGTCTCACCCGATCGAACTTGGTCGACGTGGTTTGATATTTGAATCATCTCTCTTATTAAATTAAACATTCACGCTTCACGGAATTTTCTCACATATCGGCTCTCGCGCGACGAACGATAGATTGACGTATATGTAGACAGCTTGCGCTTATGGACATTATGCTCGATGGAAAAATTAGCTACGTCTAATACCTACGCGAGATCTCTTCCTCGTCCAATAGATGTATGTACAATGTATCCATACGCGGATAACAATAAGCGTCACCTAAACGCGGCATGCTGTTGCGCATAACGTGTATGTATTCATTCGAAGTCGAGTTTCCTGACGAATAGCGGCACGTAGGAGGTCGCCCACATGATATACGATACTTATTAGACGTATGCGAGATGTAAATACGTAAATCTACGGAAGGCGTAATAAGTTTGCACAAAGAACGAACATTTGAAACAATACGTATGAATAGAGCTTGAAAGGTGGCCAACGTATTTCTGTATTTGTCCGCTGATAGCTCAAACATCACACATATGCAATTAAATATTCGTAATTGCTTTTGTATCTAAAATATTATATCTACATTTTATTCTATACTTTAATTAATCTCGGGAGATATTTTACAGAACCGATTGTTTATAACTTGTTTATTTTATTGTAATATCCGCGTTTGATAGAAAGAGATCTTCGGAGAAAATGAGACAAATCGATAGGTGGTTTTCGATAATAGGATCTGACCCGCAACATCTGCAAGTTACGCAAACGCGCGGAAATTTCTAAGATTCATCGTACCGTAGGGATCAACGTGATACGTGCCGAATACAATAATGCAGCTGATATCCGACGTGCAGCCCGATTAAATTCAACTGGTATGGCACGCTTTTTCGTGGCCAGCAATGAGACCACAGTAGGAGCGGGCTAAGAAGATCGTTCCCGTGCCTAACACCGTGGAACCGCGACACAACGATACGAAATGGAAGATACTAGATATCCGTAGCCACGCATCGTTGCTCTGCCACAAAAC